TTCGCTCCTTTAAGGGATCCTTTACTAACCAAAAGGGGAAGTATAAGGGTAGTATAGGTGTTAGGGTTCAGGGTCAAGGGTTCCTTGAGTTCCGTTCAGGGTTCGTTAGAGGGTTCTTTGCAGGGGTCGTTTAAGGGTTCTTTCGGCGCTGAAACTAGGGTTTCAGACCTCCGAGTGAGGTAGTGCGTACTCTAATGCCCTTCTTGTTGCGTTCACCCTTATCCGTAACCTCCATCGCGGCGCACTGAAACCCTAATCCTACACATACACGTCTGACGTAAACGCACACGCACCCACACACACCCACACACACCCACACACATCCACACACACACCCACACACACACACCCACACACACACCCACACACACACCCACACACACACCCACATACACACACCCACACACACACCCACACACACACACACACCCACACACACACTCGCTCTCTCGCTCTCTCGCTCTCTCGCTCTCTCGCTCTCTCGCTCTCTCGCTCTCTCGCTCTCTCGCTCTCTCGCTCTCGCTCTCTCTCTCTCTCTCTCTCTCTCTCTCTCTCTCTCTCTCTCTCTCTCTCTCTCTCTCTCTCTCTCTCTCTCTCTCTCTCTCTCTCTCTCTCTCTCTCTCTCTCTCTCTCTCTCTCTCTCTCTCTCTCTCTCTTTACATGCATATATATATATATATATACACATACATTTACATTTACATACACATATACATACACATGCATACATACACATACATACGTACATACACACACACAAACATACAAACACCCATAAAGGAAAAAAAAAACAAAGGTAGATAGACAAACAGATAGATAGAAATATATATATATATACATATAGGAAATTAGGTAAATAGATAGTAATATAGGGATATCTCTTTGTTGCTGCCACGCCTTCGATCATGTTCAAGAGCCCCGTTGCGATCTCCGGCAGCCTCTCGTTCAGGAAGTCGACAGCCTTCCCAGAGTCAGCAAGGCTCCTTTTAAATGGTTCCTAGCAGGGTTGCTAGAATGGTTGGAGGACAGCCCGTTGAAGGGTTCCTTTACGAGGAAACTTTAAACTTTCTATAGGAGTCTAGGTTCCTGAGTGACCCCGGAATGATAAGGGTACCCTTTTTCTGTTATTCAGTTTTTACAAGGAACCATACGATACAAAAGGGCAGACGGGTAGTACTCAGGAGCCCAGTTGCTCATCATAAGGCTTTAACATACGGGGGCCTTAATGGTTAGAGTAGGGTTCCGTTGAGGGTTCCCTTAAAGGGTAACTGCAAGGCTACGATAACTCGTGCACAGCAAACCTACCGATTCTAACAAACAGGCAAAGCAATAAGGAGCCCTAGGGAATACGATGAACGAGTCGAGTTGGATTTTGGGGTGTATTAGAATACAAATAAGATAAGGAACGCAAGGGAATTATGTGAGTTTAGGGTTTTCGGTTTTGGGGTCATTTGGGCTTGCAGTGCGGAATTCGAGGGAATGATGCGCATAATTGCCCAGGCCTCTATGCCAAACCCTAAACCCTTCACCCTAAATCCTAAACTTAGTTGCTGAGTTCATAAGCCCCCCAAAAGTCTAAACTTTCAATGTTATAGTGGGTAATATTATCCCAAAAAAGTGGAAAGTGTATCCACTCAGCTACTGAGCAAACCCCACACCTCCAAGCTCTGAAGCTCTTACCCCCAGGGCTTCCGGGGTTGGGCTTTAGGGTTTAGGGGTTTAGGGTTTAGGGGTTTAGGGGTTTAGGGGTTTAGGGTTTAGGGGTTTAGGGTTTAGGGGTTTAGGGTTTAGGGGTTTAGGGTTTAGGGGTTTAGGGTTTAGGGTTTAGGGGTTACAAGAAATAAAGAGTTGAGGGCAGAGTACTGCAATCCCAAAGGCTCCATGTAGCTTTATAGTAGGTACTTAAGCCTTAAAGGGGTCCCTTTATAGGTACTTTAAGGCCTAAGTATATACTATATGGGTACATGGAGCCTTAAACCCTGAAACCTTATGAATGATACCCTTGAAGGAACCCTTAAAGGAAGCCTTAAAGGAACCCCTATTTTGGGTACATGGAGCCTTTGGGAATAACTTTTAGGGCTTCGGGTTCAAAGGTCAGGGTTCAGGATTCTGAGGGGACTTAGTAAGGGCTCAAAAAGGGCTCCAAAAAAAGGGATCTCCAGGGTTCCTTAAAGGGGATCTATAGGGCTCTTGTTTATGGTTTGTTGAGTTGTAGAAAGGATTAAGGTTCGTGGCCCAGGGTTTACGGTTTGTTGGCTTGTAGAAGAGTTGTCATACGCTTTGATGGGGTTCAGCATGGGGGTTATAGGTTTTGTGAAAATACGGTTGACGATATAAATCCTGCATTACCTTAGGGAACCTAAAATATGGGAATTATGGTATATTCCTTATTCTGGGTAATGCAGGATTTATACCATCAACCGTAGCTCCACGCCCCGGCCTTGTGATCAAGATCCTTGCTCATGTCCGCAGGGAGCACTTCCTGCACGGCACCCGACTCCGTCGTGGCTTAGTATTGATCACAATGGTGCTTGCAGTGCTTATTCTACTTGCGGGTTTCGTGGCATCGGCTTACCACACCCATCAATACCCCGAACATGCCCTGGTAAGTCTTCATCGGAAGCACAGCAAACGGCAGAGTAAAGTGGGATCGCAAGAGGTGTTGAGATTGCCGGTGCAGGGTTCAGGAACCTGGTAGTCAGTTGGTGTCAACAAATACGCACCGGCCTGAGCTGCCTTCCATAGCATTTGGGAGAAAACATTCCTGCGCACCAAATCCTTCTAACCAAGATTCCTTAAAGTAAAGACGGTTGCTTGCCATTGCTCAGGATAAGAGATCGACTACACAATAAACTAAGCCAGAGGCATGATGTAATCCAGCCCTAAACCCTACCACCCTAAAACTATAGTGAACTTAGACTCCTAGCAAAAATCAACAAATTGCCCGTCTCTAAGGGATAAAGGGAACCAACAATTAAAACACCTACTTATAAGTAACCCTAAACGTCTGATTATTGGCCTCCTTGGAACCCCCGGGTTCTCTTTGAAAAAATCGCAAGGTAAGTACCCGTAAGAAGAGGTTATCTCTTTAAGCCTGGGGGAATCCTCCATCCCACTCGGCCCCCGGGGGTTAACAATGGGAGCTTCCGAAAAAATAGGGGGGTACCTTATTTTGGGGTCCTTATACTAAGGATGCTGCTGCTATGTATAGGGTACTGCATCAGCGCCCCATTATTATCGGAAACCACCTTATCACTAATACTGAACGTAGCGAATCTCAGCCCCAGACCCAGCAGAATCCCATGATACCCAGTAGAATCCCTAAACCCTAAACGAGCACAAGTCCAAGCTTCAAGAATCCTTCCAAGCCATAATCGGAGCCTACAAGAGACCGAAGTTTAGGTGTTGCCACCGTATAGAACCCGCATATTTCAGTGAGAGCTTAGCTAGGTTCTCACGTGGACCCTCGAGAACAAAGGGCAAAGTGTTTGCTACTTTTTGGCTTCAACAGCGGAACCCAAAAAGCAAAAGGGCAAAAGGGTACTACTGGGGAACCTCTGAGACGAGATCCAAGACTTATTGCGTATGGGCCTAATGGGCGTGGGCCTTGCATCTACCCTGGCATCACACGGGGTTCTTGATAATTAGAGTAGGGTTTGGGGTAACATGTCCATGGGAGGACTCTGAAGGCGGGGTAGCGTTCCCAAGAACCAAGACCTCTGACAGCACTTTCTGGCGACAGCAGTCGCGCGCATCTCCCTGCCGAGAGAGAACCCAGAGACTCCAATATCCCTTAATTGAGGAATAATCCTTAAATCAGATTAGGGATCCTACTATAATCTACGGTATATTCCTTAATTAAGGGATATTGGAATCTTTGGGGAAATTGCAATGGACGCCTGGTGCCTCGTCTGCACAGCAAACACCAGGACACGCGAAGTGAGCTCGGATCCCGATTGAGCCCTACTTAAAGGATCATGGGACTTAGTAAGTAGGTTATAATTGGGGTTATAAGTCCCCTAAGTGGGGTTATCCTAAATATAACCTATTTATAACCTTACTTACTAAGTCCCATGATCCTTTAAGTAGTCGCTGAGTTTATAAGCCCCCAAAAGTGTACACTTTCAGTTTTATAGTGGGTAATATTATCCCAAAAAGTGTAAAGTGTATCAACTCAGCTACTAAGCCTATTTTGTTGCACAGTGCTCCGAGTTATACATCAGCACTGATGAGTTCAGACACAAACAGATACATGAGACAAACTAAGTGGTTAGGTATATACATATACATGTTTATATCTGTATCTCGCTGTTGTACATGCATGTAACATGAAGAAACAACTATGATTCCTGAACCATTGTCGCACAGTGGAAACCGCTCTGGGCATCAACGCCTGGATACGGAAAATACACAATGAGTTCAGGCTGCAAGTTTAGTGGTGCAGGGTCTTGTGGTTGCATGAGACAATAGCATTTCCTAAAAAACCAAGATCCAAAAAACGTAGCGCATAGTTTAGACACCACAGAGCCTTAAACCCTCAACCCGACACGACAAATCGTACACCCTCAACCCTACCCTAATTGGAATTGTAGGGGCTTCGTGATGAACCATGGCTTAATTCGGTGTAAGCTTATTACATTACAGGCTAAAAAGAGATATTGTTGCTAATTACTCGGAACGCTCTATCCATGATAGAACCTTTCCACAATCGCTCAACAGAAATTTTGTGGGAACCCGACCCTGGTATTTCAGAGCTCAGCTTCGTTGCTGACTTCGCGATTGCTTCAAACGGCTCAAAAGGTGGGATGAAAATAGTGGGGGCTCCCCCCCCAAATAATAATGTCCTTATATAATGAATCCGTAATCCTGATCATAATGGGGCCTTAACGATTAGAATAGGGCTTTGAGCTCCTTTACAATATGAATTAACTGTAATACGAAGCCCAACGGAACAGATAGGTAGCTGTTTAAATTTAGGCCTCCCTCCATGCTACCCATCTTCATCCCACCCTTGGATCCACCCGAGTCTTCCTCTGGACCTGCTCCAAGCGCTGGCGCAAAAACTTGATGCGAGACGACTCCAAAAAGCTCAGCAGCCTTAGTCTGAGCTTCGAAGCTTTAAAGGGCTCTACAAGTTTTTAGAGTTTAGGGATCCTTGAAGGGTTCCTTGAAAGGGATCTAAAAGGTTTTTGTTAAGGGTTTAGGGTTTTAGAGTTTCCGAAAATTGGGGGGCACCTTATTCGGGGGTCCTTTATAACACAGATCCAACTATTCAGCGCAGGGTCCCCCATTTCGGAAGCCCCCAGGTACTTCAGGGCTTTAGGGTTCCTGGGGCTCTAGGGTTCTCTTCAGGGGATCGTAGAGCTCTTTAAGGGTTTGAAAGTCTTTAGGGTTTAGGGTTGGGTTTTGGAAAAAATGTGAGCTTCCGAAAATAGGGGACCCCAACATAGCACCTTGAATAGTAGGATCCTCATTATAAGGATCACAAAACAAGGTACCCCGTATGTTCGGAAACAAGCGGGGAGGGAGGGTAGGGGACTATACTTCCTGAACTAGGCCTTATTAGGTCCTTATTATGGGCATTAAGCCCCCCTACCCCCCTAAGGGTCCCTATGACTGAGTCGGAGCTCCGAACTGCGGTTGAAGATACAAATCCCGCATCACCCAGCAAATCCCGCATTACCCAGAATAACGAGGAATATATCATGATTCCCAGGTCATTAAGGCAATGTAGAATTTGTATCATCAACCGTAGGTAATTAGTTTAGGGCTTTAGGGTAGTTTAGAGCTTAGCAATTAAGGTTGAGGGTTTAGTGTTTAAGGCTTTAGAGTTTACGGCTTTAAGGTCTGGGGTTTGTTGTAAGGGCTCTGCGCATGGGATGTTTAAGGCTACATCAACCTTCTGCGGGCTTGCTCTATGCATGCTCAGCGGGAGTTCTGTGTACGGAAGATAAAACGACTCCAAAGTGGTACCAAGAATCTCTCCTTTGGAGGAAAACGACAACATCTTTCGTGTTTGCTCATCATCGCTGTTGGCTGGTGGCCTCTCCCAACCACCATCGAAATTCCACGAACTTCCGTCCTCGAAGACGATCTTGTCAGAAAACACTTCGAAGCCCTGGCGTCCGGAGATCTTATCGCAGCTTCCCCCGGGCCCCACATGCAAGACCAAATGTAGCGATGACTCCTGCGTTGTGCCTTAAACCCCTTGAAATTATAGATGAATATGTTCCCTTCATAAGGAAATAAGGGAGCTTAAAACTATCCCAAAGCCCAACCCAGGCTCCGCTTCGACGCCGCATTCCGCCAACGTCCTTGCGTCGTCCAGCTGCGCGCCGGCGAAAATCAAGCGCTGCTGCTCGGGAGGGAAGCCTTCGCGGCGCCAGAGAAGCTCCTGGGCTTTGAAGTAATATAGGCTTCTACGGTTGATGATAACAATCCTGCATTACCATAAGGACCCTAAACTATGGGAATTATGGTATATTCCTTATTATGGGCAATGCAGGATTCGTATCGTCAGCCGTATTAGGCCACTATTAGGGTCCTAATATATCTATGCTATGAATATTATTCAACTATTACTGAGTGGGGGCCGTACCCAAGGTTTAGGACAAAGAAGTATAGACTCTTATTTCATAGTGGCTCCCTTTGAGTAACAAGTCCTAGGAAATTATGAGTTAAAGTATGGTACTCCAAAGCCCAGGATCTTTACAGTTGCCGATGGTGTCGCTTCCTTCCACATTCAAGGTGAGAGCCTTGCCTGAAAGCAACTTTACATACACTTGGTAACCTTGCAGTCTGCAATCGAGCTTGGATGTTGCGGAAATACCGAGTTGTGAGAGAGTCGCCTCCTTCGGCAAGTCTTGGCCGTCCTGGGTGATGCTGACCGATGCTGAATTAGCTCCAATCCTGCCGGCAAACTGCTCGATTACCGTCGAAACTGTGTCCAAGGCTGTGGCTTCCACGAGGACGGAACCTATCAACAACGTGAAGACTGCTGCAGGGCGCTTCGCCTGTGCAGTATGCTCCTGCTGCTTAAGCTGGAGCATCTCATGCAGCTCTATCCTGAGAAGCAGCTCTTTCCTGCGTTGGCCTTTAAACACCCTGAAAAATATTTATATATAGGGCCCCTTATATATCCAACTAAGCAAAATATAGAAAATGTCCCAAAATCCAACCTAGTTTCTCCTTGTGGCGGAAAGGCATATCCAGGGACTCGGACTCCGGGTAAACGCGCAGCGCCGAAATGTCCAAATCCATGGCCAAGGATTCCCGGAGACTCCAATATCCCTTAATTAAGGAATATGCCTTGAATCATTTTAGGGATCCCACTATCATTTACGGTATAATTCCTTAGTTAAAGGATATTCCTTAAATCATTTTAGGGATCCTACTATAATTTGCAGTATATCCCTTAATTAAGGAATATTCCTTAAATCATATTCGGGGTCCTACTATAATTTACGGTATATTCCTTAACTATAATTCACTGTATAATCCTTAATTAAAGGATATTGGAGTCTCTGGGTTCAGTGTATCCGAGAGGCCTGGGAGAAAATGCAACGGAATGCTCTGAGACTTTGCGTTTTGCTTTCGGTGAAGTTAGGAAATAGGTCAAAATTAGGGTCCCTTTTTGGGTTCCTTAAAGAATAGGTGCCGTATTATAATCGGGACCCCAAAGTCCCATAATTTTGACAACTGCCCAAATCAAGATCAAGAAAGCAGACTCCATCTCCTCATTGGCGGTCTTTCATACAGCACGAAAGCTCCTGCTATTGCTATACTTCAGTAGGACCAGGGACGGCGAGGGTTGACTCACCACAAACTCTATGTAGCTGTAATTCTATCCCAGATTCAAGTTCGCATCAAATCCACATCCCAAGTAAAGTTGCAATACGTTCAAGAAGTGTCGCAAGTAACTTAAGAAGAAGACCCGGCCTGCTGCCTCCACTTGATGAAGAAACAGATCCAGCGCACACTTCAAGACGCTCGATGAAAGCTTCGAAATTTCTTGAACGGCGTGAACTGTTTAGAACTTGGGGTCTAGGGATGTAGGGCATCCAAGCTGAGAGTGCAACAAACACAGGGACTGCAAAACCCTTAATTAAATTCTAAACCATAAAAACAAAACCTAAAGCCCCAAACGTTGATCCTTCAAATCCGACAACCGCAGACCAAAGAGACCCTCCGTTGCCAGAAGCTTGCATGTCGTCCTCCGAAGTTCCCCTTTAAGACCTCCTCTTAAGGGTTTAGGGTTTAAGGGCTTCTATACAGTCTATACAGTATACATGTATGCTGTACCTGCATACCCAAAAACCTGAAGGGCTCGACCCATTGATTCAGGGGGTTCTAACCTACTATGTTCCAGAGTTTGGGGTCACAGGCAAGGGTTCTAGGCCTGACATCCTGAGACACACACGCACCAGCTGTAAACTCTGGGAGCACGAGCCCTAAACCCCCAAGCATCCACCCTAAACCCTGGAATTCTAATCCGAGAACCCAGAACTATACCACCCTTACAACCATAATAAAAAAAAAACAATATTCTCTTGGGCCTTATATGAACAAAAATACATAATCCTAAGGAAACTATAGAGAGCTCCTGAAGCCCCAAACCGTCAACACTCAGCTTTTTAGAAACTGCGAAGCAGCATCAGGGGCTGAATCTGATCACCGACCATTCCTAAAACTTGTGACCCAGCTGCCTGAGTGTAGGGGCCTTAAGCGGCCTGAATAAGTAGCAATATTGTCTCCGAATAGTCACTATGTGCTGTATAATCACAAGACAACATTCCCCAACACCCTATTCTAATCAGTACAGCCCCTATATTATCCTGAATCTGGGCTGTTAAACAGTTAAGCATGTCCGTTGTAGTTATCTGGGTACATCGGTTGCAAACGGACGAGACATGCTGAAGAGTGTCAGGGGTACTGTAGGAACCTGATTAAGGAACCTTGGGCCTTTATTAGGGTTCCTTATATGAATCCTACTATCGGTTTGAGGCACAGGGTTGCTTAATCAGGCTCCTACATTACGAGGTTATTTTATTAAGGGGGTCGGAGTTGAATACTTCTGAGGTTGAGGTTCAGGTTTTGGCTTACAGTTTGGGGTTTAGGGTTTGGGGTTGAGTTCGTCGTCTGTGCTCCTCGGATCGTGCATTTTGGGGCCTTTGCACTTCGACACAGGGTTTTGGGGTCGCGAAATCCTATTGGCAATCCTTCAAGATTCCATATTAACTGTACTTGTCTAAATGTTTACCGTTGGCTGGATAAGTAGTTACACAGTATCCCACTCCGCGAAGAAGGAACAGTTCTTTTGTCCTAGTGGGCTTGGGCATGCCCTGCTGACAACTCTTCTAGTCATTCGTGTCTTTATGTCCGAAACAACGCCGAAAAGCAAAGAAACCACAACTCCCCTGAACCATCGCTCCAGACTTCTGTAGCCACCTGTGATATCCGTTACATGTGAATGCTGCACGCTCTTATTTCTACGGAAGCTCAGATTCGGTTCATCAGCTGTAACGCTTCCGGGCAGATCCCGTGTATTTAGCCGCCACGATATAGAGCAGTTCTGTCCATCTGCCTGATGCCCTTTGCATGAGATCAAAGCACCTGTGGTGATATCGTCTGCACCGCACATCACCCGGCGTGAGTCCGATATACCAGCGACCCACCGCCGCTGCCGACGAACAATCTGATCCGGTGTTAGTCCTACGTAGATGGGCATTTAAGTTGAAACGCAACACTGGCTTAAGAACAATTGAGATATTCTCTTCCGCTTCAGCCTTTAAGCAGCAAAAAGTACGCCAGTCCTGCATACCACCAAGCCTTTTTCTTCAAGAGCCGAAAGACACCAACAAGTATCGGCCTGTCTTCTGATTATGGTATAAGGCCCCATATGTATGGCTGATGAGCTTCAATGGCTTTTTTGTTCATCTGATCCTCAAAGTTCTATGCCGTCTCCGTGGTAGCAGGTGCTGCTCTGGTCATCCAGTGAGATGCTTCCTTCTCGATTTCCTGGCTCCTGCTCCAAGCCGTATCATACAGGGTTTAGGGTTGGGGACCCTAATTTAGTACCCTACATAGTAAGATCCTTATAATAAGGACCTCAAAATAAGGTACCCCTTATTAAGGGCCCTAAGAAATTGAAATACAATACATGGTTCCGGAGTAACCCCTTAATAATACGGGTGCCCTTTTCCCTGATATTCAATTTGAATATGTAAGGAGACCCCACACTAAAAGGGCAAAAGGGTACTACTCAGGAACATGGAATACTAGGGTTTCGAAATACGAAATGATTTATTCATATTCAAGAATCCTAAGACAATACTATTGGTAAGTATTCCGGCCTCCGAAATACAGTAAGCCGTAGCCCCTAAGCCCTAACGGCCCTAACCCTTTAACACATTGTCAACAAAACACTACAAACTCTGCACACGCCCATGGAGTTGTATTGAAGCAACGCCCCGCACAACACTGTATCCCCGCCCACAAAGCCGTATAATGACTCACAGCGCAAAGAAACCCGCATAACCACATACGATGCTATAAACTCCTAATTACAGACTACCCATCGGCCCCATAGCAGTTCCTTTTTGGGATTACCTAATAGAAATCTAAATATGAACCCCCAAAAGGAACTACTATGGGGCCTATGGGTACAGAACCCTCTAACTCGCCCCCGGCTCCTGCATTGAATTTCTTCTAAACGCTGAAGCAGAAACTCCACGCGAGAGGACTCCAAGTAGCTCACCATCCTAAGTTGAGCGGGGCTTATAGTGTCCCTCCTTGGTTTTGAAAAAAATTGCGTTTGGGGGGCGTACTTGGCAGATCATGGGACTGAGTAAATAAAAGTAAGGTTATAACACGAAGGGTCCATGTGCCCAAACATGTGGGCAGTTCTCTACTTTAGGGTCCCGTTTTGGAGGTCCGCATTATATTAGGGACCCAGACCCAGACAAGGACCATAATTTCGAAAACCGCCAATACACAGACATCAAAGCGACACGAGCAGGTAGAATTTGGAACCCGTGTTTTGGGGGCCTCCCTTTCTCACCGGTAATTATGTGTTTGCAGAATGGCGTTCCATTTACGTCAACACGCTCCTAAAACGGTACTACACTACCAATGCCAAAGCATCGAAAGCCTAAGCACACCCTAACCCTAAACCCTAAACTCTACACCCCTAAACCCTGAACCCACAGAATACCGAGCAGCTCTAAACCTGCACCTTGAACCCACCGAGCAACTCTTCTTTTGAGGCAAAAGATATGGTCTGGTGCTTCTCATCGCAGCGCTTGAAGCTCTCTGCGCTTTCGTCCAACTTCCAGGAGCTTCCATCCTCCAAGGGATTAGGGTTTTAAGTTTTAGGGCTCTATAGGCACGGACTGAGTCAAGCACTTTCGGTATGAATGGCAGTTGCAGGTAAGTTCTGGAACAACAATGCTAACCGACTCCTCCACGTGACGAACATCACCGCAGTTTACTGGCTCTTTGCTGCTTACTTAAGCCTGCTTCTCGGTATTGGCCGCGGCGCGGGCTGGGGCTGGGGGGGGGCTGGGGCTGGGACTGGGGGGCCTGTGGCTGGGCTGGCTGAGGGGCTGGCGGCGAAACCCAAAACCCTAAACCCCTAAACCCCAAACCGTAAACCCCTAAACCCTAAACCCTAATCCCTAATCCCTAAACCCCTAAACCCTAAACCCTAATCCCTAAACCCTAAACCCCTAAACCCTAAACCCTGACTGTGGCTGGCTGGGCTGGGCTTGGCTGCTCGGCTGCTGGGAGGGCGGGGATGGGGGCTGGGCCTTGGAGGCTTGGGCTGGAATTTGACTGGACACATTTAATGAGAATTTGAAATTAATGAACATGCAGTTCGAAGCGAAATTCGCACAATTTCTATTTATCCTGCTGTTGAGAGTTTGGGGTTTAGGGGTTTAGGGTTTAAGGTTGATACAAGGGTTTAGGGTTTAGGGTTTACTTAAAGGATCATGGGACTTCGTAAGTAGGTTATAATTGGCGTTATAACAAGTCCCCTAAGTGGGGTTATCCTACTTATAGTGTACCTTATAACCTTACTTACTAAGTCCCTGCCGCTCCCTGTAGGGTTTAGGGTTTCAAAGGGTGAAAGGAGGGACTCTTAATGTGCAGCCCTATATGTTAGGGTTATGGACCTAGGGGTCCTCATGAAGGGTCCCTCCTTTCATCCTTGGAGGGTTTGGGTTTAAGGTTTAGGGTGAAGGGCTGCTTGGTGGTCTGCGGTTTCTTCAAGGGATCCTGTAGGGGTTCTACAAGGCGCTTGAGGTTTAGAGCTTACAAGTCTGGAGTCTGGAGTGTAGGGTTGCTGAAAGCCTCAAAGTCTGAGGCTCAGGGTTCTGAGTTCAGGGATTCGCGGCTGAGGGGCCAGGGTCCCTAAACCCAAAACGCCAAACCCTAAACCCTTATAGGGCACCAAAAAAAGCACATAAGCAAAAATTAGGATATGGATATCCCATATGAACCCCCGTATAAACAGCCCAATATGGTAGGGATGTCCCCATAAAATCTTATGCTTATGTGCTTTGTGGGTCTCTAAACCCTTAGCCCTTGGTCTGGGGTTCATGAGCTTCCGTCCTCGAAGACGATTTTGTCTGGGAGCACCTCGAAGCCCTTCCGTCCAGAGATTCCTTCGTACATGCCCCCGCGCAGAGATAAAACGACGTGAATGGTGGACGCCCTTTTGATGCCGTAGTCTGAGAAGGTCTTATCGCCTTCTAGCTGTATGCCGGCGAAAATCAAGCGCTGCCGGTCGGGAGGGATGCCTTCAAGACGATGAACCTTTTCTTTGAAGTTTCCGATAGTCTCCTAGGCTTTGAAGTAGCCGCGAGGAAAAAAGCATAGCCTTGTAGTTCATAGTGGTTCCCTTTAAGTAACAGGTCCCAAAAGAGTATTAAAGCATGGTATTCCTAAGCCCAGTCTCACTTTCTTCGACTCGCACGGTTACGGTGCTGCCTGTGAGAGTCTTCAAAAAGATTTGGTAGCCGGGTTCATAGCCTCAGCTGCTCAACGAGCCGCTGGGGGAAATGTAGAACTGGGTTGGCCTTTAAACACCCTGAATATATATATATATAGGGCCCCTTATAAACTCAAATAAGGAAAATGAAAAATGTCCCAAAATCCAACATAGAGAAAGCTTTAGGTTAGTAGCTAGTTGTGTTACAGCAAGAGACGGTATAATAAAAAAACAATAAACACATACCACTCAACTCTAAACCCTGTAAACCCTGTAAACCCCGAACCCCTAAATCCCTAAGCTCTACATCAACCCCCACCTTAGACCATAAACCCTAAACCCTTAACGACCCTAAACCTCCTCCCTTGTAGAACCTTAGGGTTTAGGGTTTAGGGTTTAGGGAACCCTTTCAGGAGCCCTTTAAAAGACCAGGCTCAGCCGAGCTGGGAGCTTTCTGAAATCCCGAGCGCTGAGAGGGTCGCCTCTTTCGGCAGGTCCTGGCCGTCCTTCCGGGGGCTTAGGCTTCTAGGGCTGAGGGTTTAGGGTTTAGGGTTTCTTAGGGTTCTAGGGCTGAGGGTGTAGAGTTCGGGGTTTGGGGCTTTCGGGTTCAGGGTTTAGGGTTCAGGGTTTTTGGGGCAGGGTTCGGGGTTTAGGGGCTCTTCTTGCAGTTCAGTCTTGGGTTCCGGGATCAGGGTTTAGGGTGTGGAGGTTTGGAGTGTACTTGAAGGATCATGGGACTTAGTAACTGAGGTTATGAACAAGGTAACTATACTGATAACTACTTAAAACCCCAATTGAGGTACTTATAACCTTACTTACTAAGTCCCATGATCCTCCAAGTAGACCCTAAACCCTAAATCCCATAGACCCCTTTAAGGATCCCTATAGATCCCTTCAAGAGCCCTTACTAAGTCCCATGATCCTCCAAGTAGGCTTAAGGGTTTAGGAACTCGCTCCGAAGTCTCCCTAAACCCTCAGCCCTACTTGGAGGGTCAGGGGATTTAGTAACTATAAGGGGTTCCTTAAGGGCCCCTTTAAAGGGATCTATAGGGATTCTGCAAGGGTTTAGGGTTTAGGGGACTTAGCAACTGGTGATTTCAGGGACTTATAAGTACCATAACCCCAATTGGGGTCCCTTTCAGGGTACTTATAAGTCTACTTACTACCTACTGACTAAGTCCCCCGACCCTCCAAGTAAGGCCAAGGTTCTTGTTGGAACTCAGTGCTGGGTCGAGGGCTTTGGGGGTTTAAACTTCAGTGGTGTAGGATTTGGGGTTGGGTTTACGTGCTTGGGATTAAGGGTTTAGGGTAGAGGAGTTCGCCCCTACTCCCTACGTCCCCTTCTGGGGAGGAGGACGCTGTGGACGCTTGTTTGTTCCACACCGGATCACAACATCAAGCAGTCGAAAACATAAAATGAGCAACACCCATCCAGAAGCAGCCATGGTCACCCCCTTCGAAGACCCACCTTCATGTAGTTTCCTATCCGTATATTACCTTGGTCCAAGGCTCTTTATAGATAGACGCCATATGAAACAGCGCGAACTACGATGTATTCTCGGTAGTTCTATCTTGTGGCCTGCTTGCTCCTCATGAAGCTTCTCATGAACCAATGTTAAGCTACCCAAAAATCTCTGACCAGGATCCGGCCGGGCTTTAATGTAACTTATGAGGCACCCGGCGTGGCATTGTGGTACTTTTCGCATGTGCATACAAAAGTAGGGTATAGTATAGTAGAGCGTAAGATATAACATGGCATGGTGCCCGTATACTGGAGCGTAAGATATAATATGGCATGGTGCCCCGTAATATGGGACAGAACAGTATCGTGCAGTATTGCGGCGTACAGTCTAGTTCATCATGTATGTGTAGTATACAGAACAGCTGTATACTGTGCTATATGTACAGATTATGGTAGTCTGATATCATACGAACCTGTTGAATATGAATACTGTAGGTCGAAGGTAGAAGACAGAGATCAGCCTTATGTTCTAGTCTGGTGTATTACAGTATGTTGTGATATGACATTGGCAGTAAAGTGCACGATAGCATATTGTAGCCTTGACGCTATATTGCAGTGTGGTATAGCATACACTATATGGGATACGATAGTCTAGTATAGCACTACCGCAGCATGGTGTAGGAAAATACTCTGTTGCATGGCCCTGTTTACTATGTTTACTATTTTTGGAGGGTATAGTAGAGCATAGCATGATATAGCAAGGTATAGTGCGCTAGCATAGTATAGCGAATTATAGTCAGGAGTCTAGTGTACTATGCTGCCGTCAGTTCTGATTCACTATAAAAAGCACGAGCATAGGTCATAGAAAGAGCGATTTGCGTGCATGAACCGAAGAATGTGGTACCATGCACACCACATATCCACTTAAAAGACTCGGAGTCGACACCACAGGGTATCTGCTCGCAGTACCCTCGGTGCCAAAATGGCGGGGTATATCGCAAGTACGAATTGAGGCTGTGCTTTCTTTGGTAGTGTGTGTTATGTCAACGTATACGATGAGTAAACTGAGCAAAATCACGAGTTCGACTTCCCATTAGGCTAATCTTCTTTCACTGGACTAATCGAAGGGCATTCAATTGCTTGTATCGGATATGCATATGATGTGATATACAATGTTTCAATTTAGGTTATTAGAGCGTAGCATAGTACAATGTGTTAAAGATAAGCATTGACGCCATAATCTAGTATGGTCTAGTATAGCAAAGTGCAATGTAGTACCTTTCAATACGGGCAAACCCAGTACAGTAAACTCGAGCATAGATGACGATTAACTATCAAATATTGAGTGGTACTGTGTCGACTGCTATGCAATGCAATGCGGTATCGTGTAATCCAGCATAGCACAAAGGGGCTTGGTATATGGTAGTGCAACTTACTACATTCAAACATAGCCTAGTCTAGCACCAACGCAAAGGATACCCTTGGACGTTACAGTGTTGCATAGTTTCGCAATGGTGTAAAAACAAATGGCTACTATAGTATATCAGCGGCACACCTGTAGTCTGGTTTGGTGGAATAGACTATAGTACATAATTATTGGGAGCCCTATGATCCTGAGCTCTGCAGAATTAAGGTCAACAGGTTTGGAAATATGGAAAGCCCAATGGAATTCCACATCTCCACATGTGCAAAGCTCTGTGGCTTTGGACGCAGCACATGTGGAAAGGTGGAATTCCATTGAGGTTTCCGTTATGTGCCAGACAGACACAATGCTGTGCCCCCTGGGTCCGAGAACCAACATTGCAGAACAAAAATTCTTGGACCAGCTCCGAGAGCCACGCGCCCCGATTTAAAGATTTGGAAAAACTTAAGTGTTTAAATCGGGGCCCCGGCTCCAAGATGGATCCAAGAAACATCTTTCTGCAATCTTGGATCTTGGATCCAGCCGGGGCCCCGACTTAAACACTTAAAAAACTTAAGTCGTTAAGTCGGGGCCCCGGCTGGATCCAAGATCCAAAATTGCAGAAAGAAGTTTCTTGGATCCATCTTGGATCCGGGAGGGCCCCGACTTAATGACTTAAAAAAATTAAGTCATTAAGTCAGGGCCCCGGCTGGATCCAAGATCCAAGATTGCAGACAAAAGTTTCTTGGATCCATCTTGGATCTGGGAGGGCCCCGACTTAATGACTTAAAAAAATTAAGTCATTAAGTCAGGGTCCTGGCTGGATCCAAGATGGATCCAAGAAACTTTTTCCTTTAATCTTGGATCTTGGATCCGGGAGGGCCCCGACTTAATGACTTAAAAAAATTAAGTCATTAAGTCAGGGCCCGGGCTGGATCCAAGATCCAAGATTGCAGACAAAAGCTTTTTGGATCCATCTTGGACCCGGGCGGGGCCCGACTTAATGACTTAAAAAAATTAAGTCATTAAGTCAGGGCCCCGGCTGGATCCAAGATCCAAGATTGCAGACAAAAGTTTCTTGGATCCATCTTGGATCTGGGAGGGCCCCGGCTTAATGACTTAAAAAATTACGTCATTAAGTCAGGGTCCTGGCTGGATCCAAGATGGATCCGAGAAACTTCTTCCTGCAATCTTGGATCTTGGATCCGGGAGGGCCCCGACTTAATGACTTAAAAAAATTAAGTCATTAAGTCAGGGCCCCGGCTTGATCCAAGATGGATCCAAGAAACTTTTCCTGCAATCTTGCATCTTGGATCCAGCCGGTTCCCTGACTTAATGACTTAAAAAAATGAAGTCATTAAGTCAGGGCACCGGCTGGGAACACAACCGACAAGGAAGAAACAAGCGTCCACGGCGTCCCCTTCTGTAATTTTAAACCCCACCTGCGGCCACCTCAAGAATTCATATAGAAACCACAATGAAGAACCCAAGCAGGTAGGTTTGTTCGGCTGCAGGCAAGCCCAATCCAACTACGGAATATTCCTGAAATTGTGGTAGGATCCCTAATACGGTTTGAGGTATCCTAACTAACAGAAGTGAAATGAGGTATACTCCTTAATTCAAGGTTTTTGGGTCTAATCTAGTGGCCTTGATAAATGCGGGTTCCTTATTACACTTATAGTATAGTATACCCCAAAACCCCATTCTAATTATTGACGCCCCTACATTAAACTCTAAATAAACAGAACCCCCAAATAGTAGGATTCATAAAAGGAGCCCTAATAAAGACCCAGGGTTTCTTCATCAGGCTCCTAGGTCTAGGACTGTCCTGGGTGATGGCGACCGATTTCGACCAGTAAAGTCCCTATATTAAACCCTAGGTTTCAGACAAGGAACCCTAAGAAAGACCCAGTGGAAGTCCATTCCTGTCCTTAGTGATAGTGACCGACTTCGACCAGGTTGCGGTTGAACATTATTACAGCCCCTATATTAAACCCTAAACATCTAGGCCTGTCCTTGGTGATGGTGAGGGACTTCGACCAGGTGGCGTTTTTGCGAGCGAGCTGCTCGCCGATAACCGAGACGGTGTCGAAGGACGTAGCTTCGACAGAGCAGGAGCCGTTGCTAAATCCCGTGATCCTCCAAGTAGGGGTTGGGGGCCTACTATAGGGGGGCCGAAAAAAATAACGGTAGGGTTCCCTTGAAAGGGATCCTTAAAGGGGTCATACTTGTAGTATCATAGGCCCCAAAACCCTATGTTTTAGCTATTAAGGACCCTAGATTAAACCCTAAACGCTAAACCTTAGAAGAGCCTATCCTGGCATGGGTTGAGGGTTTAGGAACCTATCCTTGGCTTAGAGTTTAGGGTTGAGAAACCTTACTATCCTTGCTTAAGCAATGCCAAACGAAATTAACTCCACTTATCACCGACTTACTAAGTCCCCTGCCCCTCCGAGTAGACCTACCAAAACCTACTGCTTTGGAGGTTGTTATTATCAAGACATGTGAGATTTGTAGACCCTACAAAAAAGGCTGGCTCTGGTAGGCTTAGGTACCCTTTAAGAAGCTCCTTGCCAGGTGTCGATTTCAACGAACACCAAAATCCTTCATGATTAAGTCTCTAAGTCAAGCAATAAGGGAACTTAACAGTGACCACATATCCTAAAGCCTATACATGATTCAAGGAGCCCCTCACAACAAGGGTACCCTTTTTTCCCTAATATTCAGTTTTTACTTGGCGACCCCACACCAAAAGCGGGCGAAAGGGTACTACTCAGGAACCTAGCAGCTCCTTTAAGCAGCTCTTTGAGGAAGCTAACCCCTAAGCCCTAAACCCTAAACCCCTAAACCCTAAACCCCTAAACCCTAAACCCTAAACCCCTAAACCCTAAACCCCTAAACCTCTAAACCCTAAACCCCCGACATAAACCCTAAACCTTACACCCTTCAAGGAGCTCATTGGGTCAGCTAAGCATCGAAAGCTCGAAAACCCCAGCGAGGCGCTTCGTGGTTTCGAGAAGCTCCTGCTGCTGTAGGCTAAGCTTAGGGTTTAGGGGTTATAGGGTTTAGGATCATAGGGTTTAGGGTGTTAAGGTTATGGGTTTAGGAAAGTAGGGGTTAGGCTAGGGTTTAGGGATTTTGGGTTTAGGATTATAGGGTTTAGGGTTTTAAGGTTATCAGTTTGGGATTATAGGGGTTAGGGTTTATTATTTATAACCCCAATTACATAAGTCCCATGATCCTTTAAGTCGGCTCCTGCTGCTGAAGCTGGATTGCCTCAGAGTGCTGGATCAACTGGAGCAGCGCTTTCCTGGGCTCTTACTTTACTAGGCGTCGATTTTAACAGTAACCAAGTGTATGTATAATCGGGGCTGTATATCGAACAATACGAAATTAAAACGCATCGAACATCGATGCCTCGTTTAAGCTACCATAGTCGGGATCTCTGGCAAGAAATCGGGCTTCCGTATCGTGGCACTTCCTAGTTGCTGAGTTCATAGGCCCCCGAAAGTGTACACTTTCAGTTTTACAGTGGGCAATACTATCCCCAAAAGTGTAAAGTGTATCCACCCAGCTACTAAAGGGAACTCCAGAAAGTTGGAATATGGTTTCAGGGTAGGATACCTTATCATTTACCATAAAGGGTTTAGGATAATCATATTCCAACTTTCTGGCTTTTACTTTAAGACTTTCAGACAAGCTCCTCTGACCATTTCCTAGGTTCGCAGACTCAGGGCCTAACCCCTATTTTCCTAAACCCATAACCTTAACAGCCTAAACCCTATGATCCTAAACCCTATAATCCCTAAACCCTAAGCTTAGCCTACAGCAGCAGGAGCTTCTCGAAAATATTCGCAAAGTCGGAACCTGATTCGGAAACCTGGGGCCCTAGAACCACCAAAAGAGTAGGATTCATATCAGGAGCCCTAACAGAGGCCAGAACCCCCAACATACGAGGTTTCGTATAAGAAACGCTAGTAAAGGCCCAAGGTTTCTTAACCAAGTACCTAGATTAAACAAAATCCTCTCCGGCCGGATGCAGCAAAATGTAAAACTGCCCGAAGACCTACCTATGGGCTTTGTAAGTGAGGCTATAAGTAGTGCATACCCAGGCCTTCGGGAGGATCCAAGAAGTAGATCCCTTAATGTGGGTTCCTAAAAAAAGTGCCCTTAGTAGTATAGGGCCCCAAATTAGGGGATCTACTTTCTAGATCCTCTGGGTATAATAGGGAATGGGGGCTATAGGTCATTGCAAGCTTTATAAAGGGTCCAATTATCGAAATGGGAGATTCCGAAAACTAGGGGTACCTTGTTTGGGGGTCATTATAATAAGGATCCTACTATTTAGGGTAGAGTATTAGGGTCCCCTATTTTCGGAAACCCCCAAATAGTAGAGGTTCAGGTCCCCAAAATCCGTAGTCTGAGTGGGTTTTAGACCTTGAGACCGCACTACTGTGGATGATATAAATCCTGCATTACCTTACTGACCCTAAAGGGAACTCCAGAAAGTTGGAATATACCATAGAAGGGTTTAGGATAATCATATTCCAACTTTCTGGCTTTTACCTTAAACTATGAGAATTGTGGTATATTCCTCATTATTATGGGCAATGCAGGATTTATATCATCAGCCGTAGTTCGGCACTGGGACTCTTGTGGCTACCCAGCTTCTCCTTCTCACAGAAGGACTTGTTCTCCAGAGAACATCGCAGCGCCTGAATGTCGACACCCATGGCGCGAGTGGCACATCTACATTTATGCAGCGTCTCTGGGAGCCTGGCGGCGCTGGTTCGGCAATATACTTAAAGGATCATGGGACTTAGTAAGTAAGGTTATAAGTAGGTTATAAGTAGGGTAGCCCCACTTAGGGGACTTATAACCCCAATTATAACCTACTTACTAAGTCCCATGATCCTCTAAGTAGGAGCCTGAATAACTCGAAATTCGAAAAGAACGTTTAGAGTTCATTAAAGCATATCTGTACAGAGATGAGGAGGAGATGATATTACAAAATTTTCAGGACCCGGAATGAGAACCATGTGACGAAACATGTTCCGAAACAGAACGTAAGGACCTTTGCTATCAGCACACGGAGCTCCTTGAAGCTTGCCAGTATACCATGTAGCAATGATGTCAGTGCTACATCGAGGCTTCTTGAGTCCAACTGGGCTTAACTTGCTCCTTCCTTCTCTGTGCTGCTCTCCTTTCCGCTAAGCAATCCAGCGTATTGTAGATCATAGGGACCCTTAGGGGCGTATGAGTAGGGTGTTTATTAAAGGCATTAAGGTCCCCTACCCCCCTCCCCCTTACCCCCCTAAGGGTCCCTGTGAGTAGAGAACGCTCTGGTCTCATGGTGTCATGAAGCACGGTTGGAGGGCTTCCATATCTGGACACAGGGAGTGAAGCCCGCAAGCAATCCACCCTACTTAAAGGATCATGGGACTTAGTAAGTAAGGTTATAAGTAGGTTATAATTAGGATAACCCCACTTAGGGGTTTTTTAACCCCAATTATAACCTACTTACTAAGTCCCATGATCCTCTAAGTAAACCCTAAACCTCTAAACAACAGAATTCAACCCTGACCCGAAACCTAAACCTCGACGCGCCTTACTCCGAAATCCCAAATTCTAAGCCCTGTAACCCCTAAACTCCCCCAACCTCCAACCCTAGAATCCTAAACGAAGCTAAACCTTTAAGCCTCTAAACCCTCTAAACCCTAAACCCCTAAACCCTAAACCTCTGACCCTTCGCCCAAACCCCGAAGAAGCCAAAGCCGCAAGGCTCGGTCCTGCGCATAGGATCCAATCCACTCGATGAACTCCCTGCCTCCCAGTAGATAGATATTGACCTCAAGTGTGGGAATGGTTTGGGATTCCTGTAAGGGAGTCTCATCATAAGGATAAGAATGCAGAGTTGTTTGAAGGGCTCTTTGAAGGTAGGGGATATGTAGGGGTTTGGGAGTTTAGGATTGAAATTGATACTGGCCCCAAGTTGGGGATGTGATGTTAGAATTTGGGGCATTCCTGAACCCAAAAAGACCTATATACCCTTTCGGGAAGTAAATCACATCAACAAATGTTATTCAAATCTGAGGTGGGGCTTTGGGTTTAGGGTTCAGGGTTTGGGGCTTACCTCAAGTTGGGGACGGGATGAGGGAGTTTGAAAGGAGAAAGAGCCCTACAGTACGATCCCTGTTTCAAGGCCTCTTGAGAACGCGTCTGCTTGACAAACCCCATAGTTAACATGTGAATCAACCATAACACGATTCCCTGTGAGCTCTACAAAGGGCCCTCGATAATTAGATTAGGAGTTTGGGGTATAAGGCCTAAACTCTAAACGCAAGTATATCCCTGAGGAGTGGCATTTGAAGGTTTGGGGTTTAAGTTATCCGGCCGTGGACGTTGAGCCTAACACCTGAACCTGGGGCACCCTAATGTCGGGGCCTGAGCAATGGGAGTGGGGTTTCGGGTCATGTTGGAATATAGCGATAATAAGGACTCCTAAAGAATAGTATTGGCAACTATTCAGGCTTCTACAGTACTGTAGTGGCCTCATATATAACTCACCAAGGGCTCTTGGGTCAGGTATACTATGTATACCTGAACCCCAGCTTTCTCACCATCGGTGACAAGGAACAGACTCAACCATCATCTCAAATGTCCTATCATTGGTTCCCTGTATAAATACATCCTCTCTTTGTCCCACTATTCGGTCTTAGTTGATTAATGTTAAGAAGAAGAACAAAACATACAAAAAGTCACTACTCGGGAACTCTCGCTAGAGAAAGTGCCTTAAGAAAACCTCACAATCGACGGCTCCCAGGCCACACCGCTTCCACGGTGCCAGCCACACACGACCTTCATCCACTAAACCTGGTACTTAAAGACTCATGGGACTTAAGTAAGTAAGGTTATAAGTAGGTTAGAATTAGGATAACCCCACTTAGGGAACTTATAATCCCAATTATAACCTACTTTACTAAGCCCCATGATCCTTTAAGTATCTATGTCGGCCCTGTACCTGTATCCCTAAATCCTTGGGAACTAAAGGTTAACCCGTCGGAGTATATTGGGATAATGGTACTCCCAGAAGGTTAAAGGTTACCTACTCTACTGAACTACTTAGGAGAATTTCCAACCTAAACAGTGGAAGACATGCAAAAAAGCAAGAGGGAATGAAGTGAAGTCCAAGACACCAGTTACAGACCCTACAAACAGAAACACGGCAGCCTTTAACACTCCTTAGAAAACCTCAGGAAGTCCTTGAACGGCCGCAAACAAACGCTTCATAAACCTACAGACCCTTGCTTTCACCCTTGACAAGGCCAATAATACGACTCCACTTTCTGGGAACAGCCCCTTGACACAAAATCTCTCTTTTCTGACAGCCCGAGGGCACGGTCGTGAAGCACTTGAAAACCCATCCCGTAAGAAACTCAGAGGGTCAGAGAAAAACCTGAAAACACTCTAAAAAAACACTTTCTTACAACAAACCAACCACTCATCATGAACTGATATGGAGGCTTGAACTATTGGACTTGGATGGTGGTGCAGAACATGCTATACCTACACTAAGGAAGCCAAAAACAGACGATTGCTTAGTTATTCTGGCAGGTATATTAAACCCTAAACTCGCAACCCGGAAAACCCTAAGCCCTAGACCCCCTAAACCCCAAGCGGGGGAGTCGAGGGGCATTGTTGTGCAGCGACATGGCCCCGGCAGAGACGAGCCAAATGAAAATGCCCAAGCAGAGCCTTTCACAATCTATTTGGAGGGGCAGGGGACTTAGTAAGTAGGTTATAAATAGAGTTATAAGTACCCTAAATGGAGTTACCCCAATGATAACCCTGCTTAGAACCGACTTACTAAGTCCCCCGCCCATCCAAGTAGGAAGAGAGGCTTTTCAGGTTTTAGGTTTAGGGCTCTGGGATTAGTGTTCAGGGTTTGGGCTTCTAGGCTTGGGATAAGGGGCTTTCACCTTAAAGGATCACGGGGCGGACCAAAACGGGTCATTATTAGCATACAGTAGTAGCCAGAAAGTTGGAACATCATTATCCTCATGCCCTTAAGGTAAATCATAGGGGATCCCAGCACGAATCCTCCTAAAGCCATGTTCCAACTTTCGGGCTTCTACTATAAGGGCTTTCAGGTTTGGGGTTTAAGGAGTTAGGTTTGGGGGTTAGGGTTTCAGGTTTGGGTTTGTGCAGGGCATGGGGCTCAAATAGCTTGGGGTTAGGAGTCTAGGTGCTTGGGCTTAGGGGAATTTCCCCAAGACTCCCATATGCCTTAAGTCAGGAATATACCTTCATTTATAGTAGGACCCCGCATATGATTTAAAGACTATTCTGTAATTAAGGAATATTGGAGTCTCTGTGTTCGCTTCTTCGGGATCCTTGTGAAAGCTCCGGTAAGGGTTCTATCAAAAGGTTAGCGGTCCACTTAAATTAGGGACCCAAAAACCTCATAAGCATAAGCACTTTATAGGGAGATTCCTTCCTTATTGGACTTCATTATAAGGGGGTTTATGTGGGATATCCCTATCCTTGTTTTGCTCATGCGCTTTTTGGGGGACCTATTACAGGATCAGGAGACTTAGCAGCTAGAGAGATTCTTAGGGTGATTATACTAGTAACTACCAGTTACTTATAACGCAAACCAAGATACTTCTAACTTTACTTACTGCTGCCCATGATCCTCCAAGACCGTTTGGGGTTAAGAAGAGTTTCGGGCTTTGGGTTTAGAGTTCGGGGCTTTGGGCTTTGGTGCATAAGGTTTTGGGTTCGGAGGCTGCTTTCCAGCTTCCATGCGGGTTGTTCTAAGCATTCCTCCAGGCCGAAAGCGCTAGTCTGCTATCCCTAAGGCTCCATGTACCCATATAGTATACACTTAGGCCTTAAAGTACCTACAAAAGGAACCCCTTTAAGGCTTAAGTATCTACTATAAAGCTATATGGAGCCCCTGGCTATTCTGATCAAAGCTGCCCCCCTATATCAACCCATATGAAGAACACTCTAACTAAAGGAGCCTTGGTGGGACCCTGTTCCACCCTTGTCCTTTTAGAAATAATAGACGGAGCCCTATACCTATATCCCTTAATAGAAATTGTTTAAGAAGGTCTACTCGCCGGTCTGTTTATTCTTTTGGGGGAACCATGAAAAAGGACATTGCTGCCCTGTTCTACACATGGAGGATCATCTCCCACACCCGAAAGGGGCCTCTATGCTTGGCGCTTTGGAGCTCTCCGGCGGAAGGCTTGTGGCACAATTAACAACCCCAAACCCAAGCCCTTCAGCTTCGAAAGCCTGACCTTCGCAAGGCAACAGCCAACGTTTTCATCAGACTGTGTTGAGCCAATTTCGGGTGTAGGTTCACCTTGGGTGTAGGATTTAGGGCTGTTTCCTACTTCTGGGTTTCGTGGTGTTCAAGAAAGTTTTGCCTTTGTACATCTTCAGCTAGGAACACAAGGAAAGTCAATTTCTGAGGGGAACGCAGAAGGGGGCAACGGTCTGTCAGGCAAAGGTTGACCCTTCGACGAAGTTCGTTTTTTCAAAAACCCTTCGGCGAACTTCTGCGAACGTTTTGGGGGTTCGTGAGGGGTTCGTGGGTTGTTCGGTTACAAGATAAAGTTCTGATATGTTGTTAAAATTCCCAAGTATATTAAAAGCTTCAATAAGAATTTACGACACTACACCCCGGATAGTCTGTGAAGTTTATATGTCAGCGAGATGAAAT